TCACCACCATCACCACCACTCCCACTGCCAACCACCACCAATCCCATCCCCCACCGCCACCACTTCCCCACCCACTGCTGCCCCCCTTCCCCTGCCACTTGCCTACTTTCTCACCTGCCCACTGCCCCCTCATATCCCCACCCACTGCCATCGCCACTTCCCTAGCTGCCACCACCACCAACACTTCCCCTGCCTGCTGATGCCACTCTTCTCCCACCCACCTTCACCTCCCCACTTGTGGGACTGGGGTCAGGGCCATCTGACGGGCAAAGGTGGGAGCACACCATGTGCTCCCCCTGCAGGAGTAAATGCAGCACAGCCCTATGTGAACACAGTAGGGGCAGCCCAGGGCCAGGCCAGAAATGGTGAATTGGTAGGCATCCACCCACAAGCCGGATGCAATTGCCTAGTGGGCCAGATTTGGCCCATGGGCCAGATTTTGCCCACCTGTGGTCTACAAAGAAGACAGAGATGGGTTTTTCTCTGAAGCTTTAAGGGATAGGACTAGGAGCGATGGCTTCAAACTGCAGCAGACGAAATTTAGGTTGAATATTAGGATGAACTTTCTGATACTGAGGGTGGTCAAGCATTGGAATAGGCTACCTAGAGAAATTGTGGCAACTTCATCCTTGGAAATTTTAAGGACTGGATTAGGTAGACACTCAAGATATTTTATTATTATCAGTTAATTGAAAAAGGAAGAACAACCCAAAGATTCATCACCAAGACAACCACACAAATTTGAAAGCAGTAGTGATTCAGATACAGAAAAAATAAAATTAGATTATGGCTTAGTACTTTATTCTAAATATAAAAGATAGTATCTTTTTCATGGCTTATAACAGGGGTGGGTAATTATTTGGGCTGGAGGGCTAATGGAATTTTGGTGAGCTGTTGATGACTGGGGGGTGGTGCTGACTCAGCCTCAGCCCTTCCCATCACAGCTGCTTACACCACCCAGCACAGTGTGGGAGGAGAGGGGTAATTGCAACTGATGCCAATTGCTCCTATCCAGCCTCAGGCCCATCCATCCTGCACCCACCTCTGGGACAGAGCAGGTGAGCAGGGTCTCCATGTAGACTGGCTCAGGACCCCCATGAACAGGGTGCACTCAGCCAGGCAGATGGGATGGGGTCATGGGCAGGAAGGGATTAGTATCTGGGAGCAGAACAGAGAGGCAGGGCTGGGTCTAGGACTAGGATTGTGGGGCAGTACAAGTGTAGGACCGGGGCCTAGGGCAGAACTGTGGTCCGCTCCCCGCATGTCCCTGTGACAGGAGCTGGTGCTACACTTGGCCCCGCATGCTAGAGCTACTGGTGTGGCCAAGAGCCATACATGGGGATAGGATGGGCTATGCTCCATGCCAGGTAGCACCTCTGCATCCGGGGTGGCAGGACTGGCTGCATGTGCCACAGCCTGGGCTGCCCCCCCCATTGCCTTGGTCACGTGAGGCCAAGGGACCTTCAACGGACCAGATAGAATCACTTGATGGGCCAGATCTGTCCCACAGGCTTTATTTTGCTCACCTCTGACCTATAACAATTAAAGTATTTTGTTAAATGGAAAATAGGTTATTTAGCACCCGGGCTCCTGATAATAGAAGGAACTGGGCAATAATAGAGAAAGGGGAATAGGAACTGGAGATGCAAAAGCAGAAAGTTAAATAAAGTCAATGAAATACATAAATCAAGCTGAGCTTCATAACCCTTGGAGGTACCAGCTCCCCTCACATTGCTGTCCTGCCCTCAATATGCCTCTTTTTCCTAACCCTATAAATTACTAACTTCATTCACATTGACATGATAATCTCAAAGCTTATATCTGATACCTTTTAGCAGTCTATGCAATGGTTGTAACAAAATGTAAAGTCAATAATGAGAATCCTATAGAAACTGAAAAACTCTTTAATGAAGGATTCTAATGTTTGGATATTACCAAAACAGAAACTAAGATATATTTTGATATTACTAGTAAATCTCAACTATCTATAAAACTCAGCTGGAGATGTGTATAAAACAGTAACAGAGAAATTAATTAGCCTAGCTTCCCAGAAGATAAGAGAAACAGAACAGAAGTAGTGAATTAACACTGGAAATTGAAAATTTGCAAGGTTTGTATAAAAACTTGGAGCTATAAGTATATTTAAATCTTGCCTTCCTTAGACAGTAACTAAATATCATATTTATAGAGAAAATTGAACAGGTCCTTATTTGGTTGACACAGATATTAAAGGTGGGGAGGCTAATAAATTCACCTAAGATAAGGGGGTGGGGAAGAAGGAAACAAGTCAAATAAAAGTATATACTTTTTTTTTAAATAGTAAGATTTCATACCAGATGGATTGCTGAAGAATTTAGATGGCTTTATAAAAACCATGATGCTTCCAGGTAGGAAAAAAAAATATGTTCACAAAATAAGAGAAAATTTTATAAGGACTGGTTATTTCAATAATCTATTAGTTTTCACATTTTTTACTGAATATAATTTAATCAGACATCTGGGAGATTAAATGAAGGATTCTGATGACGTTCCCAACATTAAGAACCAAGAGAAGGCAACCATATGACACATCAAGGCTTGCCCTTCTAAACTCAGTGGGTGCATCTACAAGATGCTTAATGTACAGCAGACTAATTCTACTGCGCATTAGCATGCACAGTATAAATGGTGCTAATATGCTAATGCGCAGTAGTATTAGTCTACTGCGCATTAAGCATTACACAACAAGCATGCACTAATGCGCAGTATGGCAGCCTACAGTGCACTTATTTAGTACGTGATTGTATAAGTACTAACTTTAATGTGCAGTAGGCACTGAGCATTAATGAATGTATAGATGTGCCTGGTGAATAGCATTAAACTTATATCTTATTATGTTAATTTCATGTTTCTAGGTTCTTCTTTATTTAATTTAACTTCTAACTTCTATAGCTGACTTCAGCAGTTTATTCAATCTTCCAACCACCCAACATGCTAATCAGATTACTGTTTTAACAACATACATTTTTATTTTAAAGAAAGAGAAAACTTTTTAGTATCTTTTGCAGGGGAGGATGGAGAATTCTTGTCAGCAGATCTGAAATAGAGAACCTTTTAATTGCAAGGCAGATTTTTATCACTTTTGTCAACTGTTCCACAGATATTATAGTAGATTATTCACCCTAGAAAACACTCAAAGATTAGCAGATAATTTATAATTATTTCTTGGATTTAAAATATGCACTTTATTATTTAGATTTGTAGATTAGTGTGAAAAAGGCTTTACCTCATGAAGCCGGGAGGCGGCGGGACTTCATAGGCAGGACTTCACTCCAGGACTTCATAGGCAGCCTAGATCGGAGGTGCTGTCCACTGAGCCACTGTGGACAGCCTCAACCTCTGATGAAGACTGGAACCTAGTAGGACCCAGCAGCATGGCAGGTCAGCTGCAGCTGACAGACAGCCAAAGCCAAACCCAAAAGAGGAACAAGGCACCTGAGAATAGGGCGGTCCCAAACACGGACGCTATATAGACGAAGAGAGAGGGTCACTAAAGACGTCCATGATGAAAGGCGGCGTCACTACAGCCATCAGACCTGGGGGACCCGAGCATGGTCAACCCAGAGCACCATCCTCTACAACGAATGGTTCCATCATGGTTGGCGGTAGGTGGGGTGTAGGGGAGGTGGAGCCCCACAAAAAAGCCAAGAAGGGAGCGACCCGGGGGAAGCATCAGGGGAGTCAGGACCAAAACATTATCCTCCCAATTGAAATAACCGATCATCAAAGACATGGCAGACAAGACACCCAGTGTACCACCCCAAAGTCACTCGGAAACTGGCCCATTCATCCCAAAGAAGCCACAGCAAGGCTCAAGCAGAAGTCGCACGCATAACGTCTGGTGGAAAGACATGGGAGATTACAATTAGAATGTTCTGGGTTATACAAAACCTTAGAATTTCAAGTCATATTCTAAGGCTTTGCAAAGGAATCTATTAGTGATAAAAGTAATTTCAGCATCTATGTCAAATTATTTATCATTAACCACAAAGATGCTGCAATATACTGGCCATTTTACACATGACACCAAACTGCCATTAGGTAATTTACAGACAATCTGTATTAAAGTCAACCAAAGCCTTTATTTCATATATTCATCTTCCCACTAATATTACTTTCCATTACCCTTGGAGATAATGGTGCTTTTTATGCTGTTAATTCTAATAAGGAAATTTACAGATGGACACTATATTATCACTTAGGCTGTTTGCTGATGTGAGTGGCAGTTAAAACATTACTTCTTCACCCCACGACAGCAAAGTGGATCCAACAGGATGCTGAGTGCTTCATCAGCCTTTTACATTTTCTATTTTTTTAGATATCAGAATCTTATTAACAAAAAGTTTCCTTAAAAGGAAAATGTTTTACATAACCAACTCTTAAAAATAATCACAAGAACATACCCCAATGCTTTGTATTAATGTTATTCCTTTTCTTTCCAGACACAGAACACTGCTCACAGGAAGAAAAGAGGAAAAGGAGAAAGGTGGACAAGAGAAAAAATCATGCAAGTGTGACTGAAGTGATTTAGGATGAGAAGTACTTTTCACACCAGTTGCTAGATACACAGCTGATAAAGGTTGATGTGGAAGCTGGTCACCTGGCAGTGGTGAAATGAAGGATGTGACAGAAAGGAAGGAGCTGCTCATTGATCAGATGGAATCCAGACATGACAGTAACAGTTAATGAACCATGTCCTATGAAGCAGCTTCAGCACCTTTTTACAACCCCACTTCTCAGCCTTAATAAAAGTATCAGAGCCTTTAAAGGAGCACATCTGCTCCAGTAACTGATGGCAGAAAACTTTAACTGCAGGAGTTACAGTTTGGTCCTTCGCAGGATTTCACTCTCTGTACCTATTATGCTTAGAGAATATTTCATAATAATGTGTTAGTTGTTATGTCCATAATAGCCACAGAAAGAGCAGGATAATAACATTTCTGTAATGAAGCTTTGTACAGCATCACTGCAGAAATTAGATATTTAATTTATGTTAATTATAAGAAAGAACTGAAGCTGACTGAAAAGGAATAGGAAAATCATTTTCCAAAACTTCTCATTAGTTCAGTGGCAACTTTAAATAAGTATTTTTTTTTGACTTCTAACAACTGGCAAGTTTAAATCTGACCCCTGAAAAGCTGAGTAGCTGATTGGTTGCTTGTGAAAGATGCTCATCTGACAGGCCTTGAGTATGAACTCTTCATTTATCCATAGAGCATGTGTAACTTGATGCAACAATGTAGCTACTCACTTACTAAGATAACTTGCTAATGTGGGTCATAACCCTGCACTGGAAAGACCATCTCTGGCAGGGCAGGTTGGCCTTATGCTGAGATTGTCAATAAGATAGCCAGATATGTCAACTGTTACAGCACAAACTGGAATGCACACATTGGCCAATAAAGAACATTTTTACATCAATATCTTCTGATCACTATCAACCAGGTTAATAGGTACATAATTCTTTATTATGTTACTAATTCCCTCAGCTGCACAGTAATATACTTCAACTCTAATATGTTACAAACTGAATTCACATCCAGTAAAAGGAAGTTCTAATTTACACATGCAGAGTTGAAGTTATAGGTATCCAGCCTTTTATCAACTGTTCACATCTTTAAATATATTACAGTATCCAACACAAAGTTATGAGGACACTGGATTCACTGCATCCCTGAATTTAAATTATTACATAAGCCTAAACAGTATCTAAGCATAATACTGTCAATGTCTTCCAAGGAAGTGAGGGGAATAGCTTATTCCTGTCAAATGACTGAGGTTGTCCCAAATTCCTGCTTTAGCTCCTGACCTTCTTCTCACCACTTCTTTCTAGCTGAAGGGAACTGGACAGGTTCCTTTCAAAATCTGTTAATGTTATTCTTTGACCCTTAGACCATGAATATCAAGCATATAGCTTGGGGGCTGGATCTGGCCTGCCAGGTTACTGGTTGACCAGGGAATTTGGGTGCAGGGCTAGCAGGATGTGGGGCCTGTGGCAGAATCTGGGACCTTGGGGCCCTGTTGGACTCATCAGCAGCTGGGTGAGTAAGGGCTGTCAACACAGTCCCACTTAAACTTTCAGCTACCTGGCCCACAACTACTGCTGCTTTTGCCACCTCTGCTGTAGCAACTAGCTACTTGGCCTGCAACCTCTTACCACACCACCAGAGCTACCGCTTGCTCTGCCGCTGGCTTTACCACCTACCCTCTTGTCTAGCTATGGTCCGGGGCATAAGGTAAGTTTGACACCCCTGCTTTCACGTATAATCATCCCTGTCTTTAATGAGGGACTGGAGGTAAGGGAAAATGACTAGCTCTTCCCTGCCACATCTATCCTTTCCCTCCACCTCCCTCCGGAGGCCTCTCTTAGTTTTCGTGTCAACTAGCATTGTTTTATGCTTTCCTCCCAAGCCATCCTAGAAAGCCACAGCCTTATCACTTGTTGCCTCCACTAGCTGCATACTGGTTTCTCCTCAGCATTAGCTTGATCTCCTGATGTGACCAGACTCTCCCCTCCCACCTTGTTGGTTCCCCTTTAATGGGGGTCAAGAATCAGTAAGAGGAGAGACAGAAGGATAGACTTTCCAAGAAACCCTGCCTGCCCTGTCTCTTCTCAGCCCAGCAGCATTGCTGAAACTCAAAGAGAAGTGCTACTCCATGAAACCCCCTAATCTAAGCATTAATCATTTGGCTTCTAGCCTGGAAATTGAAAGCCCAAGATGAGACATTAACCAAGACTGGAGTTATACTATAAATTTTTGCCTGGTATAAGATTAGTTGGGTATGGTTTTGGTGCAACATTTCTATGATAACAAAAGCTGTAATGTAAACAAGGCTTATATAGGCATAAATGTGCTTTTGTCAGCATAGTTGTTTCATTCAGTATCTCGTGCAAATGGTATCTGAAAACATACTTTTTCTGCTGGTGGGTTTGTCCCTTAAATGAAGCATGGCTTTATGAAGATTTACGGCCTAGTTTTCAAAGCTTGGAGTATGGTTTGGCAGCTATACACTCATTTTCTGCCCTGGGCCACGTCCAAACGTGCACGGACATTTGGCTCCCCGGGGACACTGAGCTGCCCCTAGAGCTCCTCCCTTTAAATTGTTTGGCCTTCCCACTTTATCCTTCCCCCACCTCCAAGAGAGTCACTTCTACCTTACTTATAACCAATAGGGTGATGAGCCAATGAATCAGAAGGGGTGTGCCGCTGCTAATTGTCCCCAGGAAACGCCCATACCACATGCATTCTGGCACGTGGCAAGTGACCCCAGTAAGGTAGGAAAGTTCAGCAAACTCACTCTGCACATTTAGCTGCTCCTAGAGCTCCTCCCTTCAAATTGTTTGATCTTTCCACTTTACGCTCCTCTCCACCCGCAAGAGAACCACTTCTACCTCACTTATAACCAACAGCGTGATGATGAACCAATGAATCAACAGAAACTATTTAACAGACCAAGGACAAATCTGCATAGGAAAATTATACCAGCATTATCAAGCATTTGAATTTAAATTGATACTAGTTGAACCACATCAAACTCCCGAATGGATGCCTTACACAGATGCAAGAGTGGATCTTTTGGGTTAACTTAAATTCACAGTGTATAAGCTAAACCAAAAAAAGGCATTTTTATATGAAAGTAAGTGTCCTCCTAGGGTTTGTTTAGGTGTCAAAACTGAAGTTAAACCAGCACAACTTTCCTGTACAGATGAGGCCTGGTTGTTCCAAGGAAATATAGGTAGATGTTACTGCAAGGAATACAACTGCATCCCATGTTATTACCATATTATGTTAATACTTTCCAGTTATAAAAGCACCTGGAACATTAAAAGTGTCATGCAGTCATCCACTAATTAATCGCCTGAATATGAAGAGATACAGGAAACAATGAAGCATACAATAGTACAGTAAAGAGAAAGTAAATGTTATTAATGAGATGCAGATTAAAGTTCTATGTTCAGTTCTATTATTAACCACAGTTCTAAGTTATTATGATGGTAATCCTTTATTATGCTCTTTAATGAGACAATAGAGCTTTAACTCTAATGAGTTCTGAATTCTCCTCCATCTGTCTTGTGACATTATTATATATTTCTTCTCCAATTGCCAGTAGCCTCACAGTTATTTTATCACACATGACTAAATTCATCCAGCTGCAAAAGGCCTAAAGCAAAGAATTCCATACCACACAAATCACCCATAAGGAAATTCTTGTCTTGCCATTCTACTGATTTCAGGTATGAGACTTCAACACCCATTTGATACCTCAAAACCCATTTGTCCATTCCTATTGTATGCATTAGGGAACTGGCTTTTATGTTCTGTGAAGAGGCCTCCCCTTCCAAGGTAAATGTCAACCATTTTGTGTAAAACATTCCAAGAAAGTGGCTCCAGAAAAGGATTACTGTATTCAAAGCACAAATGTTTTCCAGGTAAAAGTATTGCTTTTCAAGATTTAACAGTTGTTGCTCTTCAATTCTACCCAAACGACTAAAATTAACAATTTCTGCATAAGCTGGCTTTTTCCCATTCTTGCTCCTCCATTGTTCTCTTGCTTAAGTTTAAGTAATTTATTAACTGGAAGTGACAGAAAAAGATATCATTATCTAAGAAAAGTATAACTATAATTAACTAATTGAGAAATTATATGGAGAAATTATATTGCCTGATGTAGAAAATATGGAATTGTGATCAGTACCTAACACACTAAACTAAACTAATTATTATGCACCGTAATGTATTTAAATCCCTTCTAAAAACATAATGTAACAGCAATATAAAGCACATATGTTAAAATATGTATTTATAAGACACTGATACAAGATTTTCCTTCACTCCACTACCTGAATATTTGTCTATAATGAAAGCTATTTAATAAATTATGCAAAAATTTGTCAGACTGTCACGGTAGCCTTTTACTTCTTTTCGTAAGTTTTTCTCCACCCCCCCGCCCAATTTGTGACACCACATAACATTCAGGTTTTGATTCTCAACAGATGTACAACAATGTAGCATCACTGATTTTCAGGAGCACTGCATCAATTTACACAATTGTGTCTAGAACAAGTGAGCATCTTTTTTTTTCTTCTATTGAATAACACTTCTATAAATCTTTCTTTTATAAGGTTACTTTCCTATCTCTCCTGCTTCATTCTCGTTTTGGTTTGATTCTTATATTTTTCACTCCTCCTCTTATTCCCTTTGCACCCTTTTCCTGTACCATACATCTGTTATCTTGCAGCAGGAGATAGCTTGCTATTCTCTGATAATCTTTTTTATTCTCACAGCCAGTACAGGTGGCAAGATAACTGTTCTTTTGAGCCTTGTCTGCTTCCTCAGAATAATTTGAAGTAGGAAGTACAACCCTTAGCTGTCAATTTGAGAGAAGCTTGAAGGAGTCAAACTACTTCCTAACATAGATACTGTTTCTATTTCTCTCTCATGTGAATTCCCAAAGCCAAACCAATGGCTAATTTGACACATCCATAAAATACCCCAAGAGTCAGATGCCTTTGATATCTAGGGAATTACCAAGTGCAACAGAATCAAACACTTCTTATTTTCCAAAAGGAAAGTGAGGAATGACTGCAAGCAGATTGGGTTGAGCAGGAGTAGAGTTATGCAATGACAGGCACATCCCTTTCTCTGAAAAAAATATGGTTACTGTAGCATAACTCCACATGAGATACTCAGGGCTCTTCTACAAAGGAAATCTCAGTCAGTACAAATCAAAGTGTGAATTTGTGTCTCTTCACACAATGGATATTTTTATCCCACCTCTATGAGTGCCTTTTTATGGCTTATAGTTAATCCACTTCAAAATGGACTAAAAAAGGTACTCTTAGCACTGAATAAGACCGTCTATATGAAGAACTACTGCCAAAAAGCTATTCTGGGCTATTTTCCTGTTCAGCAAGCTCTCAGCCAAATACCCCTTCCAGTCTTGGAAACAGTATATTGTCAACTTTCCATTTAATTTTAAATGTGTTTTATAACCCCAGTGTGACAGTACATACTGATCATCCTCGACCACGAGGGATTGCCGACGGTGCGTCAGTAGGTAGGCAAGCTATAGAAATGGAGATATGACAGAGTCCTGTCTCTATCTTTATACTTTCCCCAAACAATTAGCAATTTATATAGTCTCAAATGATGAACACAAACAAGAAGGTCCTGTTTCAAGAATGCTCACTTGAATTAACTGCCAACAATTACTACACTATACAACTATTGCCAGCAATGGACAATCCTCTAACTGGTAAACTGAAAACCACAAAGTATTTATAGGAAATCCCTTTGATCCTAAAAGTATCATTTACCTGTGTTCTGGGTCATTTAATTATTTGTCTTCTTAATCGAAGTCCTTTGATGTGATAAATATAGGAAGTCAGAGCACTGTTTTACACTGGTCAAGTTACCCACTCAGAAGAAAGATATCAGACAAAGAAGCAGTTCTGATAATTTTGTCTGAGAAACAGACTCTAAATGATATTTTATTTTATTTTTTGGAACATAATTTGATCTCTGCTCCATTTTACATTTCGGATATAAATTTTGCTTTTATTAATGTTTAATTGCCTCAAGTAAATGTAAAGGATTTTTTTTCTTTTAGCCAAAGAAGATACGATATTTTTTATTGGACCAAATCTAGTTGGGAGAACTGTTGGGCACGCTTTTGGACCTCAGATGCCCTTCCTCAATTCATACATTTCCTGCATTATCACATTTACAACACTCCAACTCTATCAAAAAAGAGGCTATTTAAAGAAACCAGACCCTCCCCACAAGGAGCTAACTGAGGCTTGCTCCTGTTACCTAACATTTGTAGATTTCAATTATGTAAATTAAATTAATTGATGCATTTAATTAATATATTTATCCTCACAACACTGTTCTACTACAATCTCTATTTTACAAATATGTCCAGATTCTTAAAGACATGTGAAAGTATAATTCTTAATCAAGAAAAAAATCTGTCTATGAATTACTCATCACAGTTTTACAAAATGTCTCTGGCAAACAGGCCCTAAGCTAAGGTTCCCAAAGTGCTAAGCTATAAACAATAACTGTCTACATACATTTAGACTGGTCTGAAGAGATTACAGAATAGTTTTGATTAAACTGGTGACTGTACAAAAAGTCTTGGGCTAGGGATAGAAGTTACACATAAACCAGTTTAGGGGTGAAAACAGAAGTGCCAGTTTTTGCCTGATCTGGCCACAGAAAGGAGTTTATTGCTGAGACCAAACACAAGTGCACAGTTGCAAACAGCTTCAAAAATGGCTGATTGGGTGAAAATCTGACCTCTCATTGCATGAGGCATCAGATAAAGGTGTTACAAAAGGTAGTGTCTTTTGTAACTTGTGTCTGTAGAGCTCCCAGACTATTGCTGTTTTCAGAATGAAAGGGGGGGAAAGGAAGCAGAGGGAGTTCAGTCTAGGGATTTCCAGCCCCCCCAGAGGATGGGGAAGGTATATTGCAGCCTCTCTGAGGTGGGGGGGGTCTCCAATTCACCCAACCCACTGTTCAGCACCAGGTGAGGAGCACCAAGAATTACCTCCCTCCACTGCCTCCTCTCCCTCCCTCTCCCCGTCCATTCTGACAATAGGGAGCACTGATCATTGCTGTGGGAACCTGGCTTCAGGCTTCCAGCCACAGTTAGATTCCCCACTCCCTGGAACCAACAGTGAACATCTGTTTGGTGTGGGGTAATGTTGTAACGCAGAACGCTTTGCAGAAATTGTTCTGAGTTACAGCTGGGAGCTGCACTTCTATTTGCACTGTAAGTGATCAGTGGTTTAACCCTGTAACAGAACAGAAGTTCAGTGCATTTAAACCACTTTCAAAATAAACTTGGATGGATGTAGTATCAGACTTAACTGATAGGGCTGTGCGAAATTTTGCCAGCAGTTTTGTTCTGATGCTGTTTTGACTCATTTTGAGCTCGAAACAGCAAAATCAAAATGAAACAGAGAGCTTCAAAACAGCCTCGAAATGAAACGAGGCAAGTCAAAATGTTTCGAAATTTTCAAAACGTTTCGAGTTTTGAAGCTCAGGCTGGGCTTGCCTGTAGGGAAACAGAAACTAAAGTAAGGAGAGAGGGGGGAAAGGGGGGAGAAGAAGAGCTCTCATTATTGACTGTGTAGCTGGCCAGTGACTGTCATCCTTTCCTGAGGTCCCTTCCAATCCCAGTGCTCTAGGGACGGGATGGAAAAACTGCATAAAAGGCAGCATTGTTTGGACTGCCCTGCTTTCTGCCTTGGTGTCAGTTGAGTGAGGGTGCACCTTAACACACACACAGTGTCAGCCCCCCACATCACAAGTTTTGCCTGTCAGCGCCAGAGATGCAGGGGCATCTATGTTCTGGGGCCCTGCACCTATCTCCTTGAAACTTGGCAGGCTTTGTGGATTCAGCAGGGGCTAGCATGCCTGCAGTTTTAACCCCGCTGTGGTGTACACATGACATGAGTTTTTTGCTTCCAAGACTTTGAGGTGCAGTTTCCCTGAAACCCCTGCACCTATCTCCTTGAAACTTGGCAGGCTTCCTGCTCTCAGAAGGGGCTACCATTCCTGCAAGCTTCTACCAATTCAGGCCAGAAATGACAAAGTTATAGGCTGTTGTGAGCTTCACCATTATAGCCTATGGGCAAAATGTCGAAACAGCAAAACTGTTTCAACAAAACGAAACAGAACAGCAGTTTCGAATTGAAACAAAATTCAAAATGAAATGCTGTTCCATCACAACATTGAAACTCAAGTCAAAATGGAACAGTGCCGTTTTGCACAGCCCTATTAACTGATTTAGATCAAACCAGTTTGTGGACCTTCTGTCCCAGACCCCTTCCTGATTCAAGTCCCTAGCATCCCAGGAGCTTTGCAGCCCAGGGCTCTGCAATCTTCTCCAGTGGAGGAGACACTTCCCAACTCCTTTGCTCCCTAGCCTGCTTCCTGGCAGTCCCAGGGAGCTGGAGGAATTCCTTGCCTCCCCTTCTCCGACACAGCTGATTGACTTGGCTGCTGCCACAGGAGGGAGTGGGGGAGGGAGTTCCCAAGGCCACCCAGGGTGTGGGTACCAGGGATGCCCTGCCTTAGGGAGCTTCCTCCACCCTGGCCCAGGCTCCCCTAGCCCAGGGCAGCCCCAAGGAACTGAGGGGAATTCCCCTGTCCTCCCCCTTCCCAGCTGCAGATTGCTTCAGCTGCTGCCACAGGAGGGAGAGAAAAGAAGTCCTTCTGGCTGAGTGCCTGCTCAAGCAGCCCAGTAGGCGGGCACTGGGGACCCCTGCTTTGGGGGGCTTCCCCCACCCCAGCCCAGGGTCCCCCATCCCCAGGGACCTGAGGGAAATTCTTCCCCTCCCAAACCCCACAGCTGCTTGCCTTAGCCACTATGAGTCTAAGGCAAGCAGCTGCAGGGGAATAGGAGAATTCCTGTCTGTTCCCCGAGGCTGCTATCCCTCAGATTTGCAGTGGCTGAGGCAGCAGCTGTGGGGCAGCAAGAGGGCAAGACTTCCCCTCATCTCCCTGGGGCTGCCCTGGGCTGAGGAACCATGGGCTGGAGTGGGGGGAAGCCCCCAAAGCAGGGGTTCACATGCGCCCCCATGCTGGGCTGCAGAGGCAGGCACCCAGGCCAGAAGACTTCTTTTCCCTCCCCCCTGTGGCTGCAGATAAAGCAGCCAGCAGCTGGGAAGGGGGCAGGGGAGAAATGGAGAAGGTTGAGAAAGTCCAGAGAAGAGCCACTCATATGATTTGAGGCCTAAAGAGCAAGCCATATGAAGAAAGGCTGACAGATATGGGACTGTTCAGCCTAGAAAAGATAATACTTTGCAGGGATTTGGTGCCAGCTTATAAATATATCAGGGGAGAGCATCAGGGGTTAGGCAGACAACTATTCACCAAAGCG